CAGTGTTGTCTTGTCTGAGCTACGTGGCATAGGGATGGCGTTTAACTGGACTAAGGTGACTGCAGTCCCCTCGGTCCTTGCAGGGTCAGTGTGGCGTGCTTGTTCTTGTCAGAGCAAGCAAACTTGACTGGGCTCGACCTCTCCCCGTTCCTCCTAGGGGTCGTGACGGTGGAGAGGTCGTGCGTCTCCCGAGCGCCATTCGGCTAAGGCAGGAGGAAAATGTCATGGCTGTCCCTGGCCTTAGCGTCTGGCCTGGTTCATTTTGCCTAGCTAGGCCTCGGTTGTTCGGGCTTGTGCTAGCTGATGTGTCATGGGCTGCTCAGCCTGCTACTTAATCTGTGTCTTGAGACACCCCAAGGTTATAACCCCGACAAGTGTCAACACTAGTGACAAGTTAGATATTTTATTGTATTTACATGGTGTACGTTTCATTTGAGCATTTCTAGAAAACAGACCATCTGGTTTTGAAGGTGTGGCTCCATTGACATAATGGACTTCACTGTCACAAAGCATTGGTCGATATGGTCCAGCTAGACAAGTGGATGATCTAGTTTTGAGTCCAAATGACCACTACGGGAAAATGACCCTAATGTCACGGAGCGCATTGCAATTGCATTAAATTTGTTGTAATAGGTTGGTGTTATTTCCATAGTTTGCAAAAAAAAACATTGCGCTTTTTTGTGATAGAAAAAAACATTGCGCTATGTCAACATTGTTGCCACTAATTTCTTGCGTTGAGATAATCTTAAATTTCTTTACAAGAGGTTGGTGTAATTGCCACCATTATTAAAATGGTTGTGATAAGTTGATATTATTGTCATGTATGTTTCTGCCTTGTGATAATCTTGAATTTCATTGCAATACATTGGTGGTATTGCCCCAAATTATATGGTTGTATTTAGTTTCTAAAACATGATCCACATGATAAACATCAGTTGAGGGTCGGCAAGAGGTTGAATCATCGAGAAGCGCACAAGCTTCATCCTAGTTCTCGTTGGAGCCCCTCGCAAGGAAGCCCTCACAAGGGCCAAGCTCTCGGTCGGCTAACTTCATGGATAGCTACCATCAACTTCTTAAAATAGCGAGCATCAAATAGTTACTGGCATATTGAATTCAAGCATCTCAAAAGCAAGTACTCGGGAATAAGTCGATAAAAATCATTATTGACCAAAATATATTAATTTGAATGTCATCGCTGAATACCCTTATCAATTTAGTATCTAGGATTACATGAATAAGCAACAGCCTCCAACCACTAATCTTGGCTCATCAAGTTTAGAGGAAGAGAAACAACCGAGTTAGTAGCTTTTGCAAAGAAATTGTCGAGGCCAATTTTTAATCTAGCAATGTTGGTTTTCAAATTTGTTGAAGTAATCCAGATTTCATTACTCATCTGATTCAGCTAAATTGTTGATCAACGAAGCCTCTATGAATTGAGGCACATCATCCCACTAGGAACCACTAGACCTTCTAAACCCATAGACCGCTAAAGCGTCTGCAGATTTTGTTGGGAAAGCAGTATCCGAGCAGACTAAGTACTTAAGGGTCTCCGCTCAGGCAAAGGCTACATGTAAACAGTAAGACACAGTAAGACACAAAGCTCAATTAGGGTTTCATTCATTCATTGGTCTATCTCTTACATGTGGTTTGCTTTCCCCTTTTATAGGTCTCTGTACAATGTAGAGTTCTTTACATCTATGCCCTCCAACCGACGGAGCATATTATGAGGATATACCCGTACAACTACAACCATTCAGGGGTATCTTAGGCCTTCTCCCTTCTAACCGCATTACTTCATGGGCCTTGCCCTTAGCCCGCTGGAGGCCCAACACGCACGTGGAGCGTGCCTTCTTTGAGAGCCTTGTCTTCGGGCGGCGAAGGCTTGACCTCCGCCGGACTTCACTGATTCCCATGTTGAACCGTTGTGCATTCCCCCCAGTGGTCTCCATGACACCCACTGCGCATCACGCTTCAGTGTGCTCCAGTCCTTCAGCAATGGTGCCTTCGCCGACCATGAGCCTTCGCACTGTCGGGTAAGTGTGGCCGAAGGTACCTACAAGAGTCTTGTCCGGAACAAACACAACAACCCATATTCCGATCCAATCTATTAGGTATACGAAGATGTGACAAAAGGTGGCGTCCCTTCATGACTACAATATAGGCACCAACAGTGTGAAGGTGCACCACGAGCATTGGCGGAGCAAAGCTCGGCGTCAACAACCAGCTCATGGGGAGAAGAACCATGGCTAGTGGCGGTTATAAGGAGCAGCTGACCAACTCATGCGAAGGAGGAATAGCCGCCCTGTGGTGGTCCGTGGGGAAGGTGGCGTTGCTGCCTGCCTTGATGAGCCAAGCTCAACTCGCAGCACAAGCTAGGGAAAGCTACCGATGTAGATGCGGGGGCCCGACCATGGACAGAGGCGCGACTAGACAGGGCCCATCGCCAGTGAACGGTTGTGGCGAATGTGCAATGGCATAGTACATGAGTGTTTTCAGAAGAATGCGTGGGCTGCACAAAACATATCGACAGGGCGGAACAAAAAAGCTTGTTGAGCTGGCTCAATGGCTCATTCCAAAACTTATTTTTTTTAAATAAAAATGAGTTGATTTTGCGTGACTTTCCACTGCTCGTGTGGCTCAGCTCGTTATGAAGTTTTGGATCTCAAATAACTCAAGAGACCGTAATAAATGAGATTATATCAATTTTAAAGAAAAATCGTGTGGCTCAGCTCTTTATCCGCACCTACGCATCGGTGGAAACCACCTACGCCTCCAACGACAAAACGTCGGGCCAAAATGTTTTATCAGGAATAAACGATTTCTTTTTTTTTCTCTCTCTTTCTTTATTACTTGCCACGGTGTCGCGCCCACGTATTCCGCCATCCCCTTCTCACCCCAAACAGCCCCCAGCGCCGCCACGCCCCGCCCCCCCCCCCCCCGCGCCGCCGCCGCCCTCCGCCAGCACCGGACCGACCCTCCTCCGGCCCAACCGCCTTGACCGCGCCGCTCGCGCAGGCCTCTCACAGTCTGGCGACGCAGCGCAAACTGCCGCCGCTGTCACGGTGCCCTGCTTCTCCGGTCGCGGCATTCCCCCTCGCAACATCCCGGCTGCGGTACGGTTCTTGGCTGTTGACCCAGCCTGCGCATACCAATTTACTTGATTTGATTTACCTTTAGAAGTTGGAATAAACAGAACCGCTCTGTTGAATGTTGGTATCCTAATACCATTAGGCTTTCCGGGATCTCCGGATTGGAGGAATTGGGGAGAAATTGTATTCGGGGATTGCAGGTGCGTGGATGAATTTGTACAGTAGGAATCGCAGTGTTATTAGACATCGACCCATTACCTTGAGCAAACGATCTTGTAGGAGTCACTAGGAAAGTTTCGTCCCTCCTGTTCGGATGCTTGGAGACTGTACATGTTCTACAGTTGTACCCTGCAATCTTGGCTCTCTTATCTCGCACTTCAGTGAAAATGGCACTCCCTCGGTTCCAAATTGTAAGTCCTTCTGTTTTTTCTACGCACCTAGATATACATTATGTCTAGATATGTAGAAAAGCCAGAACTACTCGCAATTTGAAATGGAGATGGAGGGAGTAGCATTTACCATGCTGTTGGACTTGCACTATCCTTAATGCTGTGTTGACATGAAGGGTAAAAGCAGACTAGCCATTCATAGATATATTGGACAATGTTCAACTGAATTGATTCAATGATGCAGATATGGTCACACTGCCAATCATTTTTAGAATTTGAAGCTTTACTGCTGGCTTTCTCCAACTAATTAGAACAGATGATGCTTCTCATCGGTCCTTTATATCTGATCTAATGTGGCCACATTTAGATTTGAAAAATCTAGTTTATGAGATGATTATTTGCATTGCATGTAACATGTATAGTGCTATGACATGAGGAACCAGTTACCTTTACTCGTTATGTTCTTCAAAGTAGTTGACCTAGATCTTGTTTTTTGTTGTTAACCCCATATTATTTTACTATATCAATGATTAGATTAAAATGCTTCAGAAATGTTCTGCAAGAACCTGATATTGATTTTTTTTTTTTACAACACGGCTAAAAGAGACTGCTCTAATTGGGCTACTGTTCTTCAAAACCATTAGTTCTGCAGCACCAGCTTCAAATCAGTTCTTCTGATCTTAGAAAGGCATTTGCAAAGATATAATGAAGCTTCAGAAGTACACTATGATTGTCTACCTTCTTTTACCACTTGTCATTCCTTAATAATGCATGTTAGTTGGCTTTGTCCCAGAAAGCTATACCAGCATCTGTTGCATACAATGATGCTGCTCAAATTAAAGGATTTGGTAAATCTTTCACAAATATGAAAAAAGTAAAAAAATGTGATTAGGTCCATTCTTATTGTATTAATTTTCCATCCCCTAGATCTGAGATAATTTATTTTAGTGCTCTGTGTTGCTCCATTTTGCTGGGAAATTTTGAGGTCAGTGGTTGTCCAAGAAAACATGCTTAATTTAGTATGTTGCCTAACTTCAAACAGCTCTAGGAATACTAATCCAAAAGATGAGTCGTAATTTGTCAATCTAGTTTTTTATATCTCAGAAGAGCTTTTTCAAGTTATTGTGATACAACTTCTTTGCTATCTCCTACTAACCAATCCAATATTGTTACAAAATTCAACATCCTTGTTTGACAATTTATTTTCTCTCAGGAGGGTAACATCTACCAACACACAGTTACTAGCAATAGTACTGTTAGCTCGAGCTCCTTTGGTTTAGCGGAACATCAATCATGGAATTGTTGACAGTCTTATTGTGGGGTTCAATGTCACAAACAGGAAATATGGAAATGAAAACCCTCCCTTGAAAAATGCAATTTGTAACATTTCATTTATATCTTGTTATAGAAAGATCCACAGAATCTAAGATGCAAATAATCTTATCTTCCTTATTTATCCTGGATTGCTGTACCATTTGATCACACCAAGTTCCTCCCAACGTGTCATTTCTATTTGGTTCCAATGGATCCCCGTCCTCCCATTGGGTTCTCAAATGGTAAGAGTTGTCCAAGTGAACCACCGGGAAAGCCCAATCCGGTGAATTTGCATTCGCAGTTTCCACAGCAAATCTCATTTTCGCATCCATTGTATACCATGAGTGCTCCCCACCAGCAATTTCCCCAGCAACACCTATATCCACAAAATGTCCAGTATGTTGTTGTTCAACCACAATATGCTCCATTCTCACTGCCACAACTACCACCTCAACCTGCTGGGACTATGTCAATGCCACCGCCTGCATCAGCTGGAACTATGCCACTGCCTGCACTGCCACTTCAACCTCCAATTGCTGGAGCAGTGCCATTTATGTCTGTGTCATACTCAGGCACCCCACACTCTGTAACTGGTCCAGATTTACAAGACACTGTTAGTGTAGACAATGAAGAGAATGCTCAACCCGATAGGACTTCTAGGCGATTGCGATTGAATTGGACAGAATTGGAGTCTTTAAGACTGGTGAGATTTTTTTACTCAGTTCATGATCTTAGGGCTCTGCATTTCTTTTCTCTTACATGTTTGTGTTGGAACTGCAGATTAACGCTTGGTTGAATAGTTTCAAGCTGAATAGTTCCAGGAAGAATGGCGTGCACTGGGGAAATGTCACAAAGCTGTACAATAGCAGCACTCCAAAAGATCGGAGAAGGTCACGAAATCAATTGAAGCTCCACTGGCACAAGATTACCATGAAGATGGCCCACTTCTATGACTGCTGGTGCCAAATCGAGAAGAAATATTCGAGCGTGCAATCTGATAAAATGCAACTGATGGACAAAACATGGGTAAAGTATGACGAGGAAGCAAGGGCGATGTACCTTGAGGAAGCAAAACATCATTTCACGTTGGGCCATCTTTGGAAAGCTGTCTGGGACCAACCCAAGTGGAAAAGCTACATCTCTTCATTATATTCCAAGGGTACCAAATTATCTGAGTCTGGGGACTGCACGTCATCCTCTGAAGATGCCAATGATGTATCAGAAAAAGAAATGGATGACAAAGATAGCATGTCTGCAAAGAAGAAACGGGAAGGCAAAAGCAAAATGTCATCTCCTTCAATACAGTTGCAACAAGGCATTCAAAGCTCAGTGGGTCCTCAAAACGTGCTTGAGAAGAATAATTTAGTGGCAGACACTTCGAGGCTCTGTGAGTTTCAGCCTGAGAAGGAGAAATTGATGGCTGGCACTTTGAGTTTCAATGAACTTCACCATGGAAATTCAGTTAGGGAAGACGTGCCTGAAAAGGGAAGACATCCACAAGATTGCAAAGGACTGGAACATGCAATGACGGTGAGATGTGCTCCAGAAAAAGAAACAGACCCACAAAGTTCCAAGATGGAAAAGGCCAAGCGGAAACGTAAAGGGAACTTATCATGTCCTTCCTCGGAGGTGCAGGAAGACATTAAACGTGCAATGGATCTACAGAGAATGCTTCAGAAGGATCGTGAGAAGATGTCGGAGGTACAAATCCAACTCTCAAAAGAGAAGCTTGAGATGGCAAAACTAAAGCACCAGGAAGCAAAGGAAAAGAAGGAAACAACACTCTATGAGAAGTACACCGAGCTATTGATGGCTGACACTCAGAGGTTCAACGATTTTCAGAAGGAAGAGCATCAAAAGGCAGTGAAGTGCATGGGTGTGATGCTATTTGGTAAAGATGGTAAGTAAGTTTCTTTTAGTAGGGCACCTCCTTTTGTATATAGTGAATGCTCGAAATGTACTATTGGTGCTTATACTTGTCAGTTTCGTTGATAACTTTTACTGAGGTGCTATCCTTAGAACCTATCTTCTTGGTTAACAGTGTGCTACAGTTAGTTTCTATCTGTGCGATAAACAGCTTTGACAGCTATAACTGTACGTGTTCACTTTCAGAAAAATGGATCGAATTGCTTCTGGTAATGTCTTCATATGTCTGTTTGCTAATCTGTAATGGAGTTGAGAACAAATAAATCTATGCGAAACACGAGAGTGGAAAAGGAAAACGTGGGTTTAAAGATACTTGTCATATGTTCTGAAACACTAGTTCTGTACATAATAAGTGGCAAGAGGAGGTACGGTGCTTCATAGTACAGGTGTTCATCCTGTTTAATCTGAAAGCTGCCAGTTAATTCTTGTTTCCTGACCATGAACAGAAAGCATCTCCACAGATCAATCAACCACGCAGTCATTACTGGTGCATCTCATGCCAAAATTTATGGCCCTATAGAATACAACAGCATCTTATCTTCAAACTGTCGATTGAAACGTTATAGTGGAATTGTAGGCTTACTACATCTGTACCGAAAGTTGAATACCAAGATTGGTGACAGTGGAGCCAAAAGTAAAAGACCTAAGAAAGAGAGCTTTATCGATGATAAAGAGATCAAGTAGCCGAGGGAAGGGAAGCATAGAGGAAAAAGGAAATCGGTTAGGAATGAATTGGTATTGGATATAGTCTTTGGGATGTTTTTATTGAGAGTTAAGCCTAGTGCTGCTCTATGTATCTAGTTAATTACTTAGCTATTTACTATTCCTAGTAATGCTGTTTTCAGCTGGTTACTTAAGCATCGAAGTAGCATCTGCTTTATGCAGTTAGATTATGCTGTAGTGGTTGGGAACTTCCTTGTATCTCAAGCTTGCTATCTCTATATAATGAGAATAAGCAGCTAAGACCAAGCTGCCCTCTGGCAGATCAAATCTGAATCCAGTTTGTGTGTTACCTGGCCAACATTTATGCATAAAGTACTTGTTAACAGAGGAAACTGACGATGGTCTTGTTGCATGCCATATGGAAATGATCCATCATCTACCTATATTTGACGATTTATACAAAACTACTGACCTATGCATTTTGCCCTTGAAGAACATTAGTGCTAGAAATGAGGCAAGGGTACAGGAAACCCCTGCTGTGGTATAATAAATATATAGACAGAGGTGAAAACAATGTACATAGGCAAAGATAAAAATCACTTGTGACTGTTGAGAAGCTTGTTTCTGTTAAGGGAATGTAAATATTTCTGTGAACTGAGTCATCTTGCATGTGTTTCTGGCAGTGAGATGCTTTCATTCGTTGGAAAGGATAATGTTGGCAATTGATCAGTGACATAATTGTCATTCCACACACCATTCCGGAGACCGGAGAAAAAACAGTTGATCCATCTCCCACTTTACAACATGCAATTCTTTTGAAGTGGTCAATGTTTTCATGTGGCATGCCGCCTAAAAAGGCCTCTCTTTCAGAGGATGCATGGGGTATTTGGGCCATCTGGAATTCTGGATAATGAACATACCGAATCAGCTTGAGCTTGAGCCAAGGCATGCAGATGCAGTTCATTCTAGAATTTGTGCAGATGTGTTTGATGAGAGGAGCTTAGTTTTTATTTTGTAGGTTGATAATTCATAGGCTTCCCTTCGTTTTTGGTCTGGAAACTCCCATCTATAATCCAGTTCGTGTATTCATTTGCAGTAACAATCAGCCGGAGTGTACATTATGCAAGTGGGGGAGAGAGAGAGAGAGAGAGAGAGAGAGAGAGAGAGAGAGAGAGAGAGAGAGAGAAAACTGAACACCATATATACCCTGCCTGCCTGGCTGAGAAAGTTAGGAATAACAAAAACCCTTGTTTCCACCTTGTCCTATATAACCAATAAGGAGTTCTTTTAATAAAAAAATGTTCATAAGCTAAGGGAGCAATGTGGTTATTAGACAAATGGTAGCAAAGGATGGAGGTATCTTAGTTTAATTGTACTATTCAAGCTAAAGCTAGGACAAGCTAGTAATTGGGTTCTCAACAACAAAACTTCTAGCCTTCTAGGAGTATAAAATCGGATGGCATGTCGAGCTGGTGGTGAGCTATGCCTCATGCCCTTGCTGATTACAACAGAGAGAAGTATATGCAAATAAAGCATGTCCTTTGCCCATGATCTGAAACGGCACCACCATTGGTTCTACGCCTCTACCTACTGCGACAGTGTTTCCAGGTTCCTCCCATGCCAAAACTGGACGTTCGATTGTTTGAGTCATCAAGTGAGCATGTAATAATTAATCAAGAATTGTTGAGTAATTAAGTCTATGGGATCCATTTTCATTTCCTCATGTTTGCCTCATAAATATTATCGTGGGAATATTTTGCTACACCTGCATCAAAACCACACACGAGTGTTAATGACGACAGTGGGTGAGTTGTTGAACCGAACTTTAATGAGTTTTAATTTGTTGTGCTTTGATAGTATTCATTCAATATATGTTTTCAAATCTTCTTTTCTGTTTGAGTTTTAATCAAATATCAAATACGCATTCCAACATGCTGACAATACAGTAAATAGTGGAAACAAGATCTCAGAGATTTGAGCACCGCAATTGAAAGTTTAACAGAAGTAGCTGGGTTACTTTAGTGCATTTTGCATTCATAAATGTTGCTACTAATGGATATGCTGTGCAAAATTGTTTACCTAATCCTTTCCTACGCTATGCCAAGCCTATGCCTAAAGACCGAAAAAAAATCTGAGACCTTAATAAATGGAACCAGATCCACTAATTCCATTCCATTTGTGCATTTGCGGCAGTGGCGGGTGCTGCACGCCATTGCTCTCTCCTTATTACAGTCACCCACTCGTCGTTAGCATACTGCCATGACTACCTTGATGTATATATTGTGGTAACATATCACGATGCCATGACTACTACCAGGCTACCTTGATGTACTATTAAATCCATGCCGCCAGATAATCCCAGGTCCGGATGGCTTCACGGGTGCTTTCTTCAAGGCGTGCTGGGGGATCATAAAAGAGGATGTCATGGCCGCCTTGCACAGCCTGTTCACACTAAACTCTCAAGGATTTGAGATGTTGAATTCGGCAAATATTGTCATGCTACCAAAAAAATTGGAAGCGTCAAGGGTCACTGACTTCAGACCTATCAGCCTCATACATAGTATTGCGAAAATCTTCTCAAAGTTGCTGGTCAACAGATTAGCCCCACATTTGAACTCCATGGTCTCCAACCGCCAAAGTGCATTCATCAAAAAGAGAAGCATCCACAACAATTTCTTATATGTCCAAGGCGCAAGGCGTGAATTTCACAAGTTGAAGCTGTCGGCTCTATTCATGAAGATGGACATCCACAAGGCATTTGATACTGTCAGTTGGGGCTACTTGTTGGAGATACTGCAGGCTCTTGGTTTTGGGCCGCGCTGGCACGAATGGGTCTCCATCCTCTTCTGAACGGCCTCCTCGTGCATGCTACTTAATGGTCAAAAAGGGCTCAGCTTCAGCCATGCCAGAGGCGTCCATCAAGGGGACCCTCTCTCACCCATGCTTTCTATCTTGGCCATGGATCCCTTGCAGCGCCTACTTGACTTGGCAACCCAGCAAGGAATCATAACCCCCTGCCTTCGGTAGCAGCTAAATGGAGAACCTCCATGTATGCAAATGACGTGGCAATTTTCATCAACCCGCTAGTCGATGCAATCAAAACAATCCTTGAAGCATTTGGAAATTTCTCAGGTCTCCATATAAACTTACAAAAAAGCTCCATCCACCCGATCAGATGTGAAGAAGTTGACCTTGACTCGGTGTTGTCCCCGTTCACAGGTACCAGAGGCACCTTCCCATGCAAATACCTAGGGCTACAGCTGCATATCAAGTCACTACAGAAAATCCACGTGCAGCCGCTCATTGAGCGTATTGGGCAACGACTACCTGGATGGAAAGGAAGATGGCTTAACAGGGTGGGGTGCCTAACGCTTGTCTCTTCAGTTCTCTCGGCCATGCCAACTTATCACCTCATAGTATTTCCCTTCGCGGCTTGGGCAAAAAGAGAATTGACAAAATTAGGAGATCTTTCTTATGGAAAGGGGAGAAAAATGCAAATGGAGGACATTGTTTGGTGAATTGGCCAATGGTCACCCGGCCAAAGGATTTGGGAGGGCTAGGGGTAGCTGACCTAGAGAGATTTGGCCGTGCACTCTGACTTCGCTGGTTGTGGCAGGATTGGACGGAAGACTCCAAACGATTGGGATGGACCTTCCTTGCAATGATGTTGATCGCATGTTGTTCAATGCCTCAACCATAGTCACCATAGGACACGGCGCAAAGGCTCGCTTTTGGCACAACAATTGGCTTGAAGGAGAAGCACCCAAGTATCTGGCTCCAAATCTCTTCCAATTAGCCACGAGGAAGAATAGAACAGTTCAGCGGGAACTCCATAGCGACAATTGGATGCGCTCCCTACGGCGTCATATCACCACCGCCACCCATATTGAGGAATTTGTCTCCCTCTGGATCCGAATCCAGGATGTGCATCTCACCCAAGGTGTCAAAGACTCCATCACCTGGAAATGAATGCCAGACGGTAATTACTCCACCCGCTCAGCATACCCCCAATTCAGAGGCTCTTTCACAAAATTTCGAAGGGACCTCATTTGGAGAGCACTTAAAGAAAATAAGTGCAAGGTCTTCGGCTGGATCCTAATACACAGGAAACTGCTAACGGCGGACAATTTGGAAAAAAGGGGTCGGCCACACGAGGAACACTGTGTGCTGTGCAATGGGCCCTTGGAGACCGGGCTGCACCTATGCTTATGCTGCCTATTTGCTAAGGCGGTTTGGAGTCAAATTCTAGCTTGGGAACATTTCGACGGACTAATAGGACAGCAACAGAACGACCCCTCAAATATTAGGCGGTGGTGGGAGAACGCCTCAAGCAAAGTGCCTCGCCTGGAACGAAGACGGTTCAATGGCATGGTCATTTATATCTTCTGGAACCTCTGGAAAGAGAGGAACAGAAGAATCTTCAACAACACATATGAAACGGTGATGCAGGTGGCTGCGAGAATTAAAGACGACACAGAGCAAAGAAGGAGAGCGTTTCAATAGAGGGCTATTTATTGCTTTGTGTTCCATTTTGCTGCTGCCTCGGATGGGTTGTTTGTTTCTGATGTATATAAACACATTTTCTATTCCCAATCTTAATTGAAGGGCCGAGCTCCTGTCAATTATTTTTTTTAAAATGTACAGTACAGGGACGAAATTAGTAACTTATTGTGCAGCCAATCCTAAGAAGAATTTATATGCTATTAGGGTGTAACAAAAGTTGAAACAATCATGTCAGATTATGTGACGGCACAAGGAAACTTGAAAACAAACATGTTAGCTTCACGGCCTGAAAAAGTTATCAGGCAAAAAGTAAAGCACAGTCAACAACACACTAGCTGTACGTGGTTAGAAATTTCCTACTGATGAACCTAGCCAACATTATTGTTATTTCATCATTTGGAATGTCTCAGGTGCACACAAAAACTAAAAGGGAACAAGGCATCAAATATTCAGAGCTAATCCTGTTGAAGGTTATACCATTCTAGCAGTTAGCAATATCTACTGCAAACTGATATCAC